AGCTTTAGTTATTAACAGTTCTTTTGCATGAGTCTGATCATCACCTTTATGCAAAAATGATGCCATCTCTGGAATCTGAGAAAAGTAGTTCTTTGACAGGATATGCTTGTGCTTAATCCTATGAATAAATACCATTTCATATGCCTGAAAAGTAAGAAAATCCAAATTCTATTCAATGCAATCAACATTTCTTGTCTACATGTTGCTATATATCCTGCACAGTATAAGAACTACACTAGTGAACTACACACAGTATAACAAACCAAACCTTAAGATTCAAATCCAGCCCTGTTACTTAATACAGCAAAATACAGCAGAAGGTAGGCCTGTGTAGCAGAGTCTTTTAAGGCCTCAGTCTGGAAGGTACTGAGCACCTTTCTGAAGTAATGACTACCTTAGAATCATAGAATCAAAGAATAATAGGACTGGAAGGGACCTCAAGAGGTCATCGAGTCCATCCTGTTTACCTCTGACCATTTCTCTAACTTGCTAAGGTCATTTTGAATTATGTCTCTATCCTCCAAAGAAGTCGCAACCCCACCCAGTTTGGTATCATCTGCAAACTTAATAAGCGTACTCTCTATCCCAATATCTACATCATTGATGAAGATATTGAACAGTACGGGTCAATATTAAACTCCTATTAAAACTCCTCTTAAACTCCTATTAAAATCAACTGGAGTTTGAAGCATTCAGCATCTCCCCAGATTTGGTTGTTCTACTCTTACTTATATCTTTTGCGTACTGTGAATTTGTATTTTTTATTATTTTAAAATTTTGAAAATCAAGAGGAGACATGTGTGTTAAACTTGTGTGTTTTTTAAGTTAATGTGTAAGGAAACTGGACTGAAGCTTGTATAAATGCTCATCAGGGCATACAATTTAAATCCATTCTTGTAGCATTTTATGCAACCTTGGTTTTGATCCAGTGTTCTATTTCTAGAAGATCAATCAATTACCTAACATTCTGCAAGGCAGACGTGTACAAACTACTATGTTTAATATGAGATTCAAATAATTAGATTAAATACACAAAGGGCACTGTGTGTTAATTGAAGCAGCACTAGAATTTCAGTTTTCAGGCTGCAGTTCAATCTAGTCTACTCATGTTAATGAAATAACTTTCACTTTTTTTTTTTACTAAATTTCTGGTGATTAGCAATTCACACCAGGGATGTTAACATGTATCTGTGGACACGGTCTTTTCAGTTAACCCAAATGGTTACATTCGCCCCTTCCTGCCGCTGCCTCTATATGGGTATGTCTACACTACCCTCCTAATTCAAACTAGGAGGGTAATGTAGGCATACCGCACTTGCAAATGAAGCCCGGGATTTGAATTTCCCGGGCTTCATTTGCATAAGCCGGGCGCCGCCATTTTTAAATCCCGGCTGGTTCGAACCCCGTGCCGCGCGGCTACATGCGGCACAAACTAGGTAGTTCGGACTAGGCTTCCTAGTTCGAACTAGCTAGTTCGTGCCGCGTGTAGCCGCGCGGCACGGGGGTCGAACGAGCAGGGATTTAAAAATGGCGGGACCCCGGTTCATACCGCACTTGCAAATGAAGCCTCGTGGAATGAGGAGTAACGGTAGTTCGAACTAGGAAGCCTAGTTTGAACTACCTAGTTCGTGCCGCGTGTAGCCGCACGGCACGGGGTTCGAACCAGCCGGGATTTAAAAATGGCGGCGCCCGGCTTATGCAAATGAAGCCCGGGAAATTCAACTCCCGGGCTTCATTTGCAAGTGCGGTATGCCTACATTACCCCGCTAGTTCGAACTAGTGGGGTAGTGTAGACATACCCTATCAGAGTAGGGAGGGGGGAGGCAGGAGCTCCCACAGAGCCACTTCCCACCCAACCCCTATGCTGCTACTTACCACAGAGGCTGCTGGGAGAGCAGGGGGCAGGTTGGAGCAGGTGCTTGCAGGGAGCCATCTTAAAAGCTGCCTACCTATGTGCTCCAGCTCTCACAGAGCTGCTTGTTCCCCTGCACTCCTGCCTTTGATACAGAGGTAGGGGAGCATGCAGGAGCCGGTATGCACGGGGAGCCAGCATTTAAGTTAGCTCCCCATGCATGCCAGCTCCCACAGAGCCACCTCTCCCCTGCCCACTGCCTCCCACAGAGGCAGCTGCGTGGGGGGGGGCAGGGGGGATTCAGTACTGGGCTCTCTAGGATGGAGAGGCAGCAGCGTGGGGGGGAAGGCTGGTGGGAGCTGGTACACATGGAAAGCCTGCCCCCCCCCCCACGTGTAAATGTGTAACCGCTAAAAAATTCAGTGGTTACATGTTTACACAAATAAAAATATTTTAACATCTCTAATCCACACAATCATTAACAAATTAACTATGATATTAAATGTAATGTTAGGCACTAGGGACCAGGCAGCAGTGACAGCCCTAGTTGGGGCTGGCAATAGGGGGCAAAGGGCTGGCCTAGCCAGCCACCCAGCTGGTCCAGAGTGATGCCTGGCCTAAAGCAGGGCCCGCAGCTTGGAAGGGTGCTGGCTGGGGGACTAGTGGCAGGGAACCTCCCCTGGTTCAGCAAATTCCTTTGTTTGCTGCTAGTCATGTCCCGAGGGTGCTGGACCAGAGAGGTCCTACCTGAAACAGAATATAGTAGATTTTGTACCATCATTAACTCAGAGTAAAATGAAAGAAAAAACAGGACTATGTAGCACTCATAAACAGAGGAGGGATGAGGGAGGGAGGTTAATGTCTGTGAGCTAATGATATTAGAGGTGATAATTGGGGAAGCTATTACAAAGATAGCTTATCACCTCTAATATCATTAGCTCACAGACATTAACCTCCCTCCCTCATCCCCATAGACATTAACCTCCCCCCCTCAGTTCTGAAATTTGATTTGTTCTTTTTATATGTGTTCACTTTTTTTGATTGTATCCCTTTGGTATATATGGTCATGCCAATTTTCTTCCACAATTTGATCTGAGGAAGTGGGTCTGGCCCACAAAAGTTCATCACCTAATAAACCATCTTGTTAGTCTTTAAAGTGCTACATAGTCCAGTTTTTTGTTTCAGCTAGACTAGACTAACACGGCTACATTTCTATTACTATTCAGAGTAACATGTAACCTTTTATAGTCTAATTACAGGTGATCATAATCAAATTAGTGTCAGTGAAACTTAAATGTTATCCTTCTGAAAAAACAAATGTAGATAAACTTACTAGGATATCAACAAAGGGGTAGTGGTTATATACAGGAATATTTCTATGAAGCAGTTATAATGGACCAGTTGAGATGCAGAGGATCTAAATCCAAAACATGGTCAATTTAGTCACAAAATTCTATAAAATAAAATATATCATATAAAAAATGCATTAGTTCCATTTTACCTCCTGAAGGCTCTGCAGCTTGAGGTGTGCTTTTGCCTCATCTTTAGTGAGAAGGATTGTGTTCCAGGGAGACCATTCATAGTGCTTATCCCATCTGACCATGACCAAATCATAAAGATCATTCCAGGCACTAAGAGCTGACTGACAACCCCAAATGTTCTCCACCATGTATTGCAGATCTTGTTGCTGTAATTGAAAGCAGGGTTGAGAAAAATACAGAATGCTTAATTCCACCAGCAAAGGCATCTCATCTATCCAGCACTAAGAAAATGCTTGGAATTAAAATTATTTTGTGTACATACCACAAAATCATTTTGGGTAGAGAAGGGTGAATATCTGAGTCATTTAGTCCACCGTACCACAGTGTGTTGTAATAGGATTTATTTAATTTTTCTCAGATCATCCCTGAAAATCAAGTTCTAATGTACTCTGGATTTTTTTCTCACAATGGTAATTCTATATCTTCTCTTGAGAGATTACTTACTTGCTTATCATTTTAAAGTTTCTTTTATTTAATATATATTTTCCTTGCTCCTTTGTATGTTCATCCCTACTTGTTTGGTCCTTGATCATTAATAAAAATAACTTATCCTTTCACTTTATCAGTTTCCTTTATATTTGTATTTTATAGAGATCATAATTAGTTTAAATTTAATAAGTTATGGTACTGTGCTGTTACTGAAGTCAAATTCAGCATACAGCAAGGACTAAACCGGGCTGGAGGACTGTGGGAGGAGGCAAAACTGAAGTAACCCAGGATGTACAATATCAAAAGGGTCATCCCTTGGATAGCCCTGACAGGTTTTGTGCTTCTCCCTTCCCACCCTCTGCTTCTATCCTACAAAGAGTTAATTATTGTGTAGCGATATTGTTACTCATTCGCTCCCATGGGATTGTGACATCTTGCGGTGGTGCTGTGGGATTTAAAAATAGCTAATGGTTGGATAATGTGTACTGTAAATTCTTTATATAAAGGACTTACAACTGATATTTTCCTCCTTAAAGTCATGACTCACCTATACTGATCTCATGTTTCATTTATCACTAGTCATCTGAAAGCACTATTTTTTAAATAGTCTATGAAGCATAAAGTGGTTTTGGCCTATCGTTAATGCTGAACTTTGCCAAGCTTTTCTTTAATACTCCATCACCAAGTTTTCTTTGTATTAAAGGAAAAATGATGGAAGGATTTAATCAAAAGGATTCTTTAACTAGGCCAACAGACTTTGAGATATGGCTTCCTTTTTCCACGCACTTGAAGTAGGTCCCTTTTCCCTTCTCCCAAAAAGAAATCACTTGACTTTAATTAATGGTATGTACATATTATCAAATCAGACTCCTCACAAAGGATGACTGGAAGCATTCCAAGTCAATACTCTTGCAAAAATGTGACATTCTATACTGTCATGAAGATTGCTTCCAAATGCAGAAGCTGGTCCGCTCCCACTGAGAATTTTGACTTGGGGAAAACTAAAACCATTTCTTGAATTTGTTGGGTAGAACCTTTTTGCCTCTGTTGTTCTAAGGTTATACATCCTAGTTCCCACATTACAGAGTCTCATTAAAGCTGGTCTCACAGCCCTCCATTTCTTTAGCCTTCTTAAGGTTGGCCTCATCTCCACCTGCACTTTCAAAATACGTTTCCTCCATTTCATCGTAAGTCTTTGAGCTATTGCTGTACTTTCTGTTGAACTACATTGAACATCAAAAAAGTTTACTGAACTTGCAGTCATTATAGTGCTACTCCTTTCCATATTATCCGAGGACCTTTCAAATAATTCAGTTTGCAATAGTGCCTTGCTTTTCTACCTTGTCAAATTTAAAAAACAGTGCTACAGATAGTTCCGCCCTTCAGAAGAGAGGTATTTGATGTTTTGAAGAAAAATCATTCTGATTATGGTGGGAAAGTTTTATCTGACAGGATGGTTTTGCTGTATTTCTTGAAGGTGATCTGATTGTGGATTCATCTACATCTTCATGTACATCTTCTCTTGGAGTCAATTCTAAAGCTGGATCCCCTCAACAGATTGTTTTGATTTCTATCCTGAAATGCTCTGTGATTTTCATTGTCCCAAAGAAGTGCAACTGCCTTTGTGGTTCATAAATGGAAATTCAATCTTGAATGTAGCTAGGAACGAACCTATTAATTGCTTTGAAGATTGAGATTGAGGTCTTAAACTGACAGTGGAAGTTGACTGAACCATAACTAGAAAGATTTTTCACATTGAAGGGCTTTGATGTGCTCTTGGTAGCTGAAACCGGGCTTTATTTGCATGTTCCCATCCGGTCGCCATTTTTAAATGCCACTAGTCCGGACTAACTGCTCATGGCTACTCATTCCAGGAGGAGTAACAGGTAATTTGAACTAAGGACTTAGTTCGAATTACCGTTTAATTGCTGCGGGTAGCTGCAGGCAGTTAGTCTGGACTAGTGGCATTTAAAAATGGCGATCAGACAGGAACATGCAAATAAAGCCCGGGATATTTAAATCCCGGGCTTCATTTGCAAGTTCGAATGCCTACATTAGCCTCCCTGGTTCGAACTAGGGGGCTAGTGTAGACATACCCTAACTGCTTTATCTGAGTTAGTACCAAGTACCATAAGCATGAATCCTTTAATATGTCCCATCCAAAGAATTTGGCACAGCTGAATGTTTTGAAGGGACTTAAGGGCAGCTTCAGGACTTCTCTTGACATATCTGTTAAATTGTCTAGTTTTGATGCTAAGTGACAGATCCCTCAGCTATAGTAAAATGTCACAGGTCCACCAAAGCTGGAGTTGTGACAATTTACCCCAGCTAAGCATCTGCCCCGAATCTTCTCAGTACTTCGCTATGTCGCTGTGCTCAGACATATATGAAATCAGTGGGGAGAGACCAGAGGAGAATCCTACAATGGGACCTAACTGCTTGCAGCTCTTTGCAGATAGTACAGCCAAAACCAGTTATGGTCCTGCCCTAAGCAATGAAGGTAACTGTGATGATTGTTTGTTATAAAAAGTTTGACTGTTTTTGAAGCCCCACAGCTGCTATTTGGATAGCTACCAGAAATATAGAACTGCAAGTTTGGGATAGAAAGGTAAGAATGTGTAAGGTTTTAAAATTAAGTTAAGTGAAATAAGACATCAAAGCCAGACCAAAACACCCTTATCATATAGCTAACTCAGCTGAAAATAAATAAACCTGATTGTAAGGAAAACACTTATGTTGCAATAGCACTACTTCAGTTGGAACAGCTGAGGCAAGTTCTTCGCTGTCAGCCATTAAAAGGGAAATGATGAGTGCAGGCATTAGCGGCCTCCAGCGTTCCAGACAGAGGTAAACATCTATCTGTTTATTACTGCTAGTCAGACAAAGACTTTACGTGGGAAAATTCCACTAGTCCCATGCATAAACTAAAGATCCAAGTTTGAGAATTTGTTATAGGGTTTTGGAAAACAGACCAGTTTTAAATCAAGCAGTAACTTAGCACCAATAAAAAGAAATAAATCTCTTTTTAATATTCTTAAACTGGAAAACTATTTAATAAGAACAAACAGAAACTGTATAGCATGGATAATACTAAAAGCCTAGTAATCTTTTATTCTAGTTTTTTGGTAGAACACCACAATAAGATAGGAAATATGTTTTACACACTGAACATAGTCAGAAAGTGTGCTTCTGTTTTTGATACCTGTAGCTTCTTACTGCTATAGCCCTAAAAAAGTTCTGCTAATCTAGGGCTGTTGGATTACTTTAGATAAACTGGGCTTTGAAAGCACCTAATCATTTAAAAACTGAAAACTAAGATTTTTTTTAAAAAAGGTTAAAAGTGTGTGAATGAGGAGTTTGTTTAAAAAATGGTAACATATCAATTTGTCAAATACAAAATTTCCAATGATTATAGAAGATCAAAAGATCCTGTACTTCTGAAAAAATGAGTACAGGATCTTTCAAAAAAGGATTTTATTTTTGAATGATCCCCATCTAAACAGCCATTTTTCTTTCAAAAAGCCCCTTTTTGGAAAAAAAACCCATGGCCGCCATTATGCAAATAAAGCATGGGAAATTTAAATCCCAGCTTCATTTGCAATTTCGAAGTGTCTAATTTACATCTCTTTTTCGAGAAAAGGGATGTAGTTTAGACACAGCCTTGGAAAAGTAAAACTAACATTTAGTAAATATTAATTCTAACAAACACTAGCAAAATTAAATAAGAAACCTCTAGATACAAATCTTCTGCTAACTGTAAGACTGAAGGTTTAAAACAGGACTTCTCTGCTTTTTTTTTTCTTACTTAAGAACTCAATGCAAGACTTCAGTAATTGTAATAATAATTTGTACTTCTTTAGCATCTTCCATCCAAGGATCTCAAAGTGCTATACAAATATTAATTCTCAGGACACCGTTACAAATAATCTTTATTTAAAAATGGCTAGAACAGTGTTTCTCAACCAATGGTATGAGTACCCTTAGGGATACTTAAGAGGAGTCTGGGAGAAACATCAACACAACTAAAATTTGGAGAAAACTGAATTTTTGTTTTAAGTTTTACAGCACTTTATTATTTTTGTACTTTTTACACCCAAAAATGTCATCGCCTGCCTGGCTAAAATTAAGTTGTTTAAACAAATGTGTTGCAATGGTAGAAAAAAAATTGTGTGTCTGAAAACTGTAGGTACTGGCGGTACTTATAATTTTTTTAAAGGGGGTAAGAACATAAGAATGGCCACACTGGGTCAGACCAAAGGTCCATCCAACCCAGTATCCTGTGTGCTGGCAGTGGCCAATACCATGTGTTCCAGAGGGAGTGAACCGAACAGGTAGTGATCAAGCGATCTCTCTCCTGCCATCCATCTCCACCCTCTGACAAACAGAAGATAGGGACACCATTCCTTGCTCATACTGGCTGATAGCCAATAATGGACTTAACCTCCATGAATTTATCTAGTTCTCTTAGTCCTAGCCTTAACAATCTCCTCAGGCAAGGAGTTCCACAGATTGACTATGGGCTGTGTGAAGAAGAACTTCCTTTTATTTGTTTTAAACCTGCGGCCCATTAATTTAATTTGGTGCCCCCTAGTTCTTATATTATGGGAACAAGTAAATAACTTTTCCTATTTCACTTTCTCCACACCAGTCATGATTTCATAGACCTCTATCATATTCCCTCTTAGTCTCCTCTTTTCCAAGCTGAAAAGTCCTAACC